GATAAGTATTTTATTATTATTCTTTAAGTGTAGAGTAGTATATTCTAGAATAATAGACTATTAAAAAGATATATAAGTTAAGAAAACTCTTAGTAAAGCTTTATAAAAAGTTTTAAAAGCTATTAACTACTTCTAGAGAAAGACGTTATAGCTTAGAAACTAGTAGATCTAAATTATAAGTGTCTTAGAAATAGAGTTAAGAATATAATTATATCTACTCTAGTAGAATAGAAGTCTATTAAGAAGTAGTTAGGTCTCTAGGTAAGATAAATATTAGATTAAACATACTCTTTATTATACTTAGGTAAGATCTAAGAAGTATAGGCTAGTAATTAGATAGTAATAAATTTATATTAACTATAGATATAATAATATAAGTATTCTAACTAATATAATAATAGTAATACATAAGCGCTTAGGTATATAGTTAGTAGTTAGGTTTATAGCTACTTCTTTCTAATATATACTAACCTACTAAAGGTACTTTTTCTCTTCTTAGTCTTATTATTACTCTCTTTCTACTCTTTTATTTCTATAACTATTATTTTATCTTCTTCTAAACTTTTGCTTATATAACTATAAATATTTCTCTTTTCTATAATAATAATGTTTTATAGCTTATATAGAGTTTTCTTTAGTTAAAGTAGTAGATAGTTAGACTACGTCTATTCTCTATTAATAGATGTAATAGTTTTATTTCTTTTATAATTGTCTTATTACTAGACTTTATTAGTAATAGTATTAATAAGTAGACTAAGTATCTTATTCTATATAACCTATTAAATTGTAAGAAATATATACCTAGAAAGATTACTCTTAGTAGGCGTTACCTTCTAAGTATTATCTTTAGCTAGTAGAATATAGTCTTTTCTTCTAATAGTAATAGACACCTTATTAATAACTAAGGCTATAGTTAAACTTATTAGCTTTATAGTTTTAATAATAGTTAACTAGTATTACCTTAGCCTATAATTATTAGAAGGTAGTTTAGATAGCGCCTAGTCTAGTAAATCTACTCTTTTATATAGTTTCTTATATTATACGTAAACGTTAGCTTTCTAGAGCTAGTCTCTAGCTACCTATATCTACTTAAAACTATTCTTAGTGCTAGGCCTTAACTCTAGAATAATATCTTAGAACTATAAAAGATTCTTTCTTTCTATCTAGTAAAGGCTAAGTTTATTAAGAATAGCTTTTAAGAAAAGTTAGTATTCTAAGAACTTTAGAAGCGTTAGCTACTTCTAGCTATCTAAAGTAACTAGAAAGCTTTCTTATTTCTATAGAGAAAGTAGAATAGTAATAGAAAATATAGCTATAGATAGTAACTCTTAGACTTACTAGCTTTTATTAGAGCTTAGAGCTTACTAACTATAACTAGAAGAGAACGTTTAAAATAAGGTATAGAGTAGAGTCTAGTTCTAAATCTATATAGAGATTAGTAAGTTAAAGTAATAGTAGAAAGAATATAGTACTATAGAAGTTTATTTACTAGTATAGTATCTATAGTAAAGACTTCTCTATCTTCTATTCTTCTACTAGTCTTTCTCTAGATCTTTTATAAACTTACATCTATAGAATAGATCTAGATATATCTTTAGTCTATTAGCGTTCTTAGTAGATAATAATAAATTAGTAAGGCTATTATTAGAGAGTTTAAGATTACTATTATATATATATAATAAGTGTACTTAACTTATACTAAGAAGAGATTCTCTAGTAAAACTATAGAGTTTAGAGAGTATTAGTAATATAAGGTAAATAGAGTTACTAGAGTAAATTAAAGAACTAATAAATTCTTATAGATAGAAACACGTGTCTATCTATTATTTATTAGAAAGTTAGAGTTTATAGTAGTAATTAATTAGAACTAATATATTATCTATATATTAGAGTATAATAGATAACTCTATATACCTAGATAAGTAGATAGCCTATTCTTTTACTAGCTAGCTTAATATTACTTACTCTCTCTTATATTAATAATTAGAGCTATAATAAGCTTTTATTATAAGTAGCGTGTTAATACAAAGTTAGTTAAGAATATTAAAAGTTGTCTTCTACTTATTATAGAATAGATAGTAGAGTTTCTTACTTTCTAAAAGCTATATAGTATTCTTATAACTAACCTTAGTAAAAATAGAGTTAATATAGAGCTTATTAGAGGTTTATATACGTTTTTATATCTCTTTATTATAGAAAATACCTTTAAGTAGTTTACTAATAAACTTTATCTAGGTTCTAACTATACTACTATAGATAGTAGATTAATTATTAATCTACTATATAATTTTCTATACAAAGACTTAATATTAGCGCTAAGGTAGACTAAGAAATAGTTAAAATATCTAAAGCTAGAGCTACTTTAGATATACTAATTTAATGTAAAGATAGGTATTATTAATCTAAAGCTAGGTTAATAGGCTTTGTTCTTTATAGTAATAGTCTCTAAATTTCTAAAATATTTCTATATTATTCTACTACGCTGCTAGGTTAATCTTAATATAGTAAACTACTAACGTATAAGAACTAGAGTGCCTTTACTACGTACTAATTAAGAGATTATATTTAATAACCTTTTAGCGCTTTTTACTATATACAAAGATTAGGTCTATAATACTTTTACTCTTATTTTTTATACCTTATAGAGTAAGGTAATTTATATTAACCTAACTAATAGAGTTAAATTCTATAGCTAGTGTATACCTAACTCTAATATAATAATATATAACCTTCTTAAAGTTTATTTAAAATTATAGAATTTATTAAGAAATACTATTAACTAGTTATTAGATTTCTTAGAAAACGTACCTAATATACATATTACCTTTAATTCTATAGAGCTACTAGTGTGTAATATATTTCTTATTAACTAGAAGAAAAATATATTATATAATATAGAGTATAAGTATACTATATAAAGAAGTAATATAAAGTTTAATAAAGAATAGATTAATTCTAAGTTTAACTAGCACTTTCTCTTCTACTAATCTAAAGATAACTTAATTATCTACACTTACTATAATAAAAATAATCTAGACTTAATAGTTATAGACTCTTACACAATTAATATAACTAAATCTAGTAGTAGTTTATAATTTAATAACGCTATAAGAGTAAATAGTTATATAGTAATATTAAGGCTTTATACTAAATAGAATAGTATTACTAACTATAATTCTATAGTACTAAAGAGCTTTAGTAATAAGAGTTCTAGTAACTATACTACTAGCGTCTCTATAGTAGTAACTTAGACTAGTTTCTTATTTTATAATAAAATTAATAAGTAATATTATAAACTAAGCTACTATAGCTATATTATTTTATATAATTACCTATATAGTAACATAATAATAGTTAAATATACCTAGCTTACTAAGAAAGTAGAAAGGTATAAGACTAGTAGTATACTCTCTATATCTTTAGTAGGTAGTACGTAGACTAAAAGATATATTATAATAAGATTTCTCTCTTATTATACGCTAGTAGACTCTAAGTTAGCTAATAAAAAGTTAACGTTATAACTATTTAAGCCTACTATAACTATAAACTAGAATTCTTCTACTTATATAGCCTAAGACTTTATCTACGTTATAATAACTAGATATATTTCTATTTTAGGCAAAATTTCTAGCTTAGACACTACTATTCTTCTTCTATCTACTAAAATAAGTATTTTGCTAGACTTAAGAGATTACAAAAAATATAATATAAGAGATCTACTAAGATAATAGACTTACTCTTAGTCTTAAGTATTTAGTAGAAATCTTTAAGATAGTAACCTCTAGTTATTACTACTTAATTACTCTTTCTTAAAGAATAGCGCGAAGCCTCTAAGTAGGCTCTATAACTTTAATAATAGTTTAGTGTATTAATACTTTTATAATCTCTTTAAGTAGAGTAATTCTAGTATACTTATAACTATTTATAGGCTATTAGGCGTTCTATAGTAGTAATAGAATTATAGAGACTTATAATTAATAAATAACTTCTTTTTTTATTCTATATACTAGTAAGTTATAACTTAAATATTTCTCTCTATCTTTTACTAGAGCGTGTCTAGCTATAATCTAGATATTTTACTAACTTTTACTAGACTACTACAGCGTATTTTAGCTAGCTAGAGTTATTTATATAGACTCTAAATAAGCGCTTTTATTATTAAATACTAGAAAAAATTCTAGAAGAAGTATAATAAGATCTAATTAATAAAAAAAAGCTAGAAATATATTTTTCTTAAATGCCTTACTATATATTATCTTATAAATAAATCTAACTTTAGAATTACGCTATAAGATCTAATTATATTATCTAGTCTTACTATAAGCTTTAAGCTCTATTATAATTACTATCTAAGTAAAGAGAGCTATAGATTTCTTTACTCTAATCTTATATACGTATTATCTAATAAAAACTATAGTTATAGAAAGTACTATAAACGCTAAGTAATAGACGTAAAGTTTATTTCTTATATAATTATACGCTTTCTATATAAACTTATATAAGAACTCTATATATTTACTATATTCTAAGCTTATATTCTATATTATAAGTATTAGAAATCTAAAGAGATATATAATAATAAAATAGAATTATATAATAGATATAAAGAGATATAAACTCTCTATAAAAGAAAAGCTTATACTACCTACTATAAGAATAGAAATAAATAGTTTTACTCTTAGAACTATAACTAGATATATTATAATAATAGCTATACTAATGTTGTTTTCTATTCTAGAAGTAGAAAAGAGTATAACGTATAGTAGGTAGCGTAAAAGGCTATTATTAAAGAGAATGCGCGTATTACTATATACATTAAATATTAGCATAATATAGAAGATTATCTATATACTAATAATTAGGTCTATTCTCTCTATTAGCTATAAATTAATTAGAGTAAAAAAGTAGTATATAAATAGCTAAGATATAATAAGTTTATTATATACTTTTAGAAGAAGTGTACACTTACCTATACTACCTAAGTATTTAACGTAGAAAACTTAGATAGACAGGTCTTTTCTTAACTAAGAAGAGGTAAGTATATAGTTCCTTAGTTCCTATATAATTAGTAGTATTTAAATTTAACTTTTACTTTCTTAACTATTTACACACTTTGTACCGCCACCTTATGGTCTATGGTCTCCGTGGGAGGTCTGATACGCCCCAAGTGATGGTTCACTCATACTACGTTTGTGTATAACGCGCTGATGTGGTACAGCTGAGTTGGGTGATGGGAAGCTTGTGATAAGTTCGCTGCACTGGGTGAGTTAGACGCTGGGCTCTTAACACCGTCAGCGCGCACATACCGTAGCTGTCCGCGGTAAGACCAAGTTTGAAGAGGCCCCCGCACTCATGAGATCAGCTCCGGTTGCGTAGTCATCCTTATGCGCCACCTCATATAATGTTGCTGGTATGTCGAGTTCGCGTGAGTTTCTTGGTGCCATGAGGACGCGGTCCCGATCGCGCGAGGGAGCCAATGGGGAGATAGCAACCGGGGATCCTCCCAGGGCAGTCACAATATGACCTTCGTCTATAGCAGGCGAGATAACACTGGCGCCATCGAGCTCTGGTGTGATTGGCGGGAAATATGAGGGGATAGGTGTAGCTGTTGGCCTGGGAGAACATGCTTCAGATTCCAGATCGCTCGTCCGGCCGTAAGCTTCCATTTGCGCAGTGATCTTCTTCAGCTTTCGAATGTCGCTCTTGTAACCTTTGATGTCGAGCTTGAAGAGAATGATTTCCCTAACGTAGAAGTCGATCTCCTGTCGCAAGCTCTCCATCTGCACATCCGGAGTATCGGCAAGAGCCTTTCCCTTCTGTTTAGATTGCTCCCTCCTCAAGCGCTCGTGGAGCCTATCCATCCACCTATCGATGTCTTCCCGTCTTGCAATGGAGGCAAGCTCCGGCCAGCTGTCTTCCCCTTCCCCAGCCATGTGAAGCTTCATTGCCGCATGCCGTCTGATTTCAGCCTGCAACAAGAGTTTGTGATGCTCCAGCTGCCTTTCCACTGTACAAATGACCCTGTCCTTCTCCTCAATTACGGATTCGCGATTCAGGATTGCGGCTCGAAGTCTTTCCATATGCGTGTCTGGGTGGTGTGTGCCTGAACGACTGGCAGTTGTCTTGTGCTCCTGTTCTAGCTCGCTGTGTGCCCGTCGTAGCTGTTCTCGCTCTTTCTCCAGTTTCGCAATGCGATGATCTTTCTCCCTGACCTGGTCTTGCAGACGCTCAATGTGCGCAACAAAAGAAGCTAGCGTTGCGTTCTCTTGCGAGTCAAGCTCTGAACTGATCGGCGAAGCACTCGAGAAGACCGTACTCATACTCATACGTCCATCGGAAGTTGGGTGGCTCGTGCTAGGTGGTCCTTTTGAGATGAGGTCGAAGGGTGATTTCCCATTCACTAAATTCGAAAGTTGCTCTTCCGCGTCCAGTCGCTCAGTGTTGGCGATCTCGAGACGGCTCTCGAGATGATCAATAGTGTTTTGCAGAGCCTGCGTGGATTTGGCAAGCTTGTCAGCGTGCGCTGCCTTGTCCTCGAACTCAGCACATCTCATCTCGGTCAGTCCTAGTGTTGAACGAAGCTCTCTCTCGCTTTTCTTCGATTCGTTCAACTTCGCCATCAATGATTCAATCTGCTGTTGGAGAGCGACATTGTTTTGTCTGTACTGATTGAGCTCTGGGAGCAGGTTCCGAGTTGTCGTTTCTGGCCGACGTGTGGCGCTGAGCTTCCGCTTCAAGCTCTCCTGACAGTCCAAATTAGCAGTGGGTTTCAGAAGGAGAGCAGGTGTATCATTACCATCTCTGGGCTGCTTTCTGATCGCCGGTGTGAACGCTGTTTGCTTTCAAATTCGATCGGACAGACAAAGTCGGGGTCTTTCGTAATCGGCGGGGTTTCGCGAATCGACGTGTGTGGCGGCTCAGCGCTATCCGAGACAAACGAAGTATTATTCCTCGACGCTAGACACGTTTAGCATGCTGAACTGATAGCTGGTGTCACGGGTGCACAGCTCGAAAAGCCATACTGGTTGATCCAACACGTTGGAAGAGAGCGTCTTCACAAAGCAGTGAAGTGTAGTGGTGGACTGGACAAGGATACTTGGAACGATACTCACCCTGGTGCAGGCCGTGCTTGCTGTTCTGCTCTTGAAGCAACCGAATGTGATCTTTCAGAGATGCAACCTCCGCAGAGTGTGCGTCCACGAGGCTTGCAACTTGTGCTTCGTGCGACGATCTCAAGGCGGCGAACTGAGATTGTAGGACTGAGTTTTTCTGATTCTGTGTGGCAATGATCGCTTTTAGCTCGTCGATCTGGTTGCTACGCGTCGATGAATTGGTTGCAGTAGACGCCTGGGTATAGTTAGTATTTGGATGCAATACATGCTGGGCAACTAAAACGGCCCGAATTGGCCATTACGAGGCAGAGAAAGAGGCATGGCGATGAGACTAGTGGTGACGGTTTGTGTGCAAGTGCCGCCCGCGCAACGTGAGAATGTGAAACCTGACACCACCACTATTCGCCTGCCAGGCCTCCGATCCGCGGATACAACAATACATTGCCAGCGAGCAGCCAGAAGCCATGGCCTGACGGCAGAGAAGTACATCTAACTCAGGCACACATCGTCGCATCAGAGTTGGAGATGGTACACAAAGAAGTTCTGAAACTGTTTCGTTATGCAGTCTTCTTGTTTGTCCAGTAAATACGCCTCTATCAAGAAACAAACAGCACTCACTTCATTTTGACTGTTGCGTCGGCGCTTTTCGGTATCCCGATCACGTACTTTCTTCTCTTGGACCTGCCGCATCTGACTAGAACCATGCCTGCCACTTCTGTTTGTCGAAACCTTTCCGTCCATGGCAGAGAGCGCAGTAATCAGGTCCGGTCTCGAACGTCTCCGCATTCCGGTTTTGTTCAAACACTTGTCATCCAATGCCGCTGGTAGACCGGCTTGGGCCATAACACGTGAATCAAGTGCATCGCCGATAGGAACGTTTCTCATGATGCTATACCGCGAGCTTAGTTCTGGAACGCTTCTCGTATGATTCAATGGTGACGAGACCAAATCCAATGCATTCAAGCATGTACTCCCGTGGCTCAAGCGCTTGTCAAGTGGGTAACTCTCCCTTCGAAAGAGCTGGATTGTGGGTTGGACGGACACTGGAGTCGTACAGGATGGAAACCCTTGATTCTCTAAGAGAAGAGAACCAGGGAGCTCAGCAGGTAGTTCTGCAATCGATGGTACCGAGGCGGACCGTGGGCGACTGGGCAGAGGCTTTTCTATGGAGGCAGATCTCGAGCATGCAATCGTACTGGGCACCGGAGAGCGCAACATGTCGCTAGACGCAGTCTGGAGGGTCGTGACAGTCTTGAACACGGCTGTATCGTACTGGGGTGTGATAGGACTGGATACATGTTGTCTGTCGTCCGATGGAAAGATGACGAGGTTAGTTGAACGTCGTTTTTCAACTTTCAGCGTAGTCTGGAAGAGATGATTAGCGAATGGTAAGGCACCACAAGACAGCTGCAGACACCGACTTCCAGACGGTCGCTGACATTGGTGTACGGGTCGTCTCGTTGTGCATAAGATGTCGTTGTCTTTGGCAGCGCACTGACATGGTTCTGTGCCTGTTATCGTACCTTTGCTTCAACGTCGGTGTTGGACTCGGGCTCAATCGACTCAATCGATAGCAACCCCCCAGTGCGATAGTAGGGCTCTGAACTAGACTGGCGTTTTGACCAGGAAAGGATTCGCTTGGACGGCATTGCGCGATCGTTGCGCACGCCGCACTCAGTGGCAGCAATACAGCGGAGGCATGAAGATAGGATGGAAACTACAGGCGCTCGGGCTACGATATGGTGCGAAGAGAGAGAGATAGGCGGAAAGGCAATCGCCAGAGAGTTTGCGGGCACTGGGACGATGGTTTGGCTACGTTTGCAAGGCGCCCATCTTGGCCGCCTTCATAACGCCCGCTGTCATGTTTCGGGGCTGCAAACCACGCCGTACCTGTCTGGATCCGGCTGAAGACGCTGCTGCAGGGGCCAAATGGGCCGACTGGGTGGGAGAGAAACACAAGCTCCTTGCATATCGTATACATAGGCGCCTTGGAGTGGATAGTGGCGCCGCCGTGTACATGCAGCGAATAGACGAGATGAAGATGAGGCGCGGTAGCGCGACGCCGTGACGAAGTTGCAGGAAGCTTGGGCCTCTGGGGAAGTCGCGACCGACAGCTTCAATCGCTAACCGGCTATTGCGTACTAGTCACATTCCTTTCTGCTTCTTTGCGCAGCCCACTACTAATTACGGTGTAATGGTCTAGCCGGCTACCACCGCAGTGCAGGCGACTTGGCATCGCCCCCAGGAAGCCCGTTGACGTTGGCTGTATCCACCAGCCACTAGAGAAAAAGTTGGGATCGTCATTGCGCCCCCAATCTCGACACCGCGACTGCGCCCCAGTGCTCAGCAATCGGGCCCGATATGGCGAGAGACCTGTCGCCCTACAGCGCGCGACGGCTGCTTACGCAACAGCTAGTCCAAGGCCAGACTGCCTCGCCCCCGGCAGTCGAGGGCAGGAACGGAAGCCCGAGCAGGTTGTCGAGACATGTATCCGAACGCGTTGGGAAGGAGCCTTCGATAGCATCTGGTCGCCGCTCGAGAAGTCGATCGAGAGAGAGGAAGCCCGAGGACGTACCGAACGCCCGTGAGCCAAAGGCCACGACAGTCGAGCCAAGCGCTGTCCGCAGGCGGGAACGGTCGCCGGAACCATACAGGAAGCCACGAGGCTCCTCCAGAGAGAAGAAGAGCGATGGATCAAGAGAGCGGAGGAAGGACCGATCCAGAGACAGGCGACGAGACCGGTCACGCGACAAGAGGCGAGAAAGATCGGGCGACAGAAAGAGAGATCGCTCGAGGGACAGAAGGCGCGATCGCTCCCACGACAAGGACGGAGACAGGAACAGAAAGCGCGATCGCTCTACGGACAGACACGGCCGGCGAGATCGCTCGCGGTCCAGAGAGCGACGCCGCCGCGACAAGTCCAAAGAGGGCAGACGTTCACGCTCGCCCATACCGTACCGTTCTCGCAAACCGCGCACCCGCTCGCCCTCTGCATCCACATCTCCACCGCCCAAACGTCACCGGCGCACACGCTCTCCATCGCCTTCGCGCTCACCGCCGCCCCACAAGCGGGCCAAACAACCGCTACCTTCACAAGAAGTCTCCTTCCGGGGGCTTGACGACTCGGCCCAACCACCCTCCAAGTATGGCGGCGCACCGCCTGACAAGGAGAAGCCCAACTTCAAGCCTACTGGCGCGCTAGCCAAAGCTGCCAACCGCGTAGAAGGCACCAAGATCTCCCTCAAGTACCACGAGCCGCCCGAGGCACGCAAACCGCCCGCTTCACAACCCTGGCGCATCTTCGTGTTCAAGGGCGACGATGTGCTAGAGACCATCGAACTCTGGAACAAGAGCTGCTGGCTACTGGGACGATCTCGGGAAGTCGCCGATTACGTTCTCGACCACCCTAGCTCAAGTGGACAGCACGCAGTCATCCAGTTTCGGTACATACAAAAGACGGTGGAAGACGAATTCGGTGTCAAGAGCCACAAGGGAAAAGTCAAGCCCTACATCATTGACCTGGAAAGCAGTAATGGCACAGAGCTCAACGGAGAGGATCTCGAGGCGAGTCGCTACTTTGAGCTGAGGGACAAGGACATACTCAAATTTGGAGGCAGTGAGAGGGAGTACGTCGTCATGCTGCCACCAGCAGAGTCTAAGTAGGAAGGAATGAACATAGCAGAAGCCACAGACGACCATTGCGCAGTTGCAATAACAATTGCGGGTGTCACATACAAATCTCTCGCTGTCATAGAAGCTGAGTCCAGATGTACATAATAGAGAAAGAAAAAACATGTCAAATCATACGTGGATGAACATCACCAAGGGGGTGGGTTGTGTCGCTATGTATCGAAGATGAAGCTAACATTGCCATTATGTCTCGAATATGCTCCAAACATCATCAGTGGCCTTGGACAGAATGTTTCTGAGGCATGTTGACGTTGAGGTACGCGATCCCCTTGATAAGTTTCGTGTTAAATCAAGGTACGCGCCGAGTAGGTGAATATGATGACCGTACTAAAGCTTCCTCGGGCTAGCTATCGTGCTCCGAACTCAGCATCCTCGGATCGCATTCTATTCTCCGTCGCACTTGTCTTGATGATGCAATGATGGGCGTCCGGACGTGGAGAGCGGCGCGTAATCAGGTACAGGGTCCAGTGTACGACAAGGATGCCGCCTCCCGACTTGGCAGGAACCGCCGTCATCAGCCTCCCCACAGTTCGTAATGCGCAGACATCGTCTTGCGCGTCCGTCTTCTTCCCTTCTTTATACCCCTTTTTACTTAATTCTTGTAATACACCATGGCGCTTTTGCGACGCTATGGGCTATACACCGTCCTCGCCGTGGGCTTCCTGTACATGCTTTGGTCCCTCAGCTTTCCATACGAGCAGCCTGGCGACGCGCCTGTAAACGCCGACAAAGGCCCGGAGAGCCAGCAAAGCCAACAACCAAAGAAAGAGCAAAAGTACAAGTCTTTCGATTGGACAAAGGTCCCCTTCAAAAACCGCATCGAGTCCCTCGTTCCACTACCAGCCGGCGAACCGAAAGCCTTACCACCCATACAATTCAACTTTGGACAAGAAGATGCTACGGCCAAGAACATACGCGAGACGAGGAAGGAAGAGGTTAAGAAACAATTCCTGAAATGCTGGAAGAGTTACAGAAGCCACGCATGGATGCACGACGAAGTCCGACCTATAAGCGGAGAGGCAGCGGATCACTTTGGAGGCTGGGCGGCCACCCTCATCGACGCGCTCGACACACTATACATAATGGGCTTTGAAGAGGAGTTCTCGTCCGCCATCAAGGATATCGAACAAATCGACTTTGGATACACCGATTTGGACCACATCAATGTGTTCGAGACGAACATACGGCATTTGGGTGGTCTTCTGGCAGCTTTCGAGCTTAGCGGGGACCAGAGGTTATTGAACAAGGCGAAGGAGGCGGGCGAGATGCTATACCATGCATTCGACACACCAAACCACCTACCAATCACGCGATGGCAATTCCGTGCAGCGGGCGAGGGCAAACCACAGGTAGCGGACGAGCAGGTCCTCCTTGCGGAGATCGGAAGTCTGACCATGGAGTTCACACGCCTCTCGCAATTGACCGGGGACCCGAAATGGTACGACGCGGTCAACAGGGTAACCAGACTTCTCGAAGAACAGCAGGACAAGACCAAGCTACCGGGCATGTGGCCTCTCATTGTCAACGCTCGAACTGCGGACTTCACTGCTGACAGTGGGTTCACCCTGGGGAGTATGGCTGATTCAACGTACGAGTATATTGGCAAGCAATATGCGCTGCTCGGTGGTCAAGACGCCATCTATCGCAAGATGTACGAGAGAGCGATGGACACGGCATCCAAATATGCCTTGTTCAGGCCATCAACCCCAGAGAACTCCGACATGCTCATGTCAGGATTTGTCCGTGCCGAAGGTGCGACAACGGCGTTGGACCCAGAGATGCAACACTTGGCATGCTACACAGGTGGCATGTTTGCCCTCGGCGGAAAGCTATTCCAGAACGACGAACATGTCACGATCGGTCGGAAGTTGGCAGACACTTGTGTTTGGGCCTACAAGGCATCGCCCGCAGGTATCATGCCGGAAGTATCGCATCTCCTCATGTGCGACAATACGACAACCTGCGTATGGGACGAGAAAGCATGGCTCGATGGTATACTATCCCGGACATCTAATGCTGCGGACGAAAAGGATCCGTTGAAGAACATTGCGAACCTCCGCCTCCCCAGCGGCTTCATCAGTGTCGATGATAGAAGGTACATTCTCAGGCCGGAGGCTATCGAGAGTGTCTTCATCATGCACCGCATCACAGGGGAGCAGCAATGGCAAGCTGCTGCATGGGATATGTGGACGGCTATACAGCGCTCCACAGACACTGACATCGGTAACTCTGCATTGATAGACGTATCTGCCGACTCTCCACCGAGAGCGGACAGCATGGAGGTAAGTCGTCTCTTAGTTCCTTGTCAGAAGACATCGAGCGTGTACTAACACGCCTACAGAGCTTCTGGATGGCGGAAACGCTAAAGTACTTTTACCTGACGTTCAGCGAGCCAAACGTCATCAGCCTGGACGACTGGGTCTTCAACACCGAAGCCCATCCCTTCCGCATCCCGAAACCAAAGGCAGCGTAACACGCATAACGGCCACATTGTTCATACACACGGTCACATACAGCTTTTCTGGCGTGACTTGGGAAAAGATATACCCGTAATTTATACAATGATATTCGTAATTTCATGGAGACGACTGAGTTCTTGCTTGTTTCCTTTCTTTCTTATTCATACACCATCTCCTCATAGACACATGTCTAGTGTGTACCGTAGTTAGGTCCACCGATGCCCTTCTCACCGGGCTTGTTGGCGCTCGGGTCGACGCCGACGTTTGAGTTTCCGCTGTCTGAAGCTACGGGCGCTTCGCCGGGCGCGTGGCCTTCCTTCGCTGCGGGTGCGTTTGAGGCACCGAGACCTTTGCCTGTCATATTTGTTAGCATGACATCCCCGCAGAAGTTAAGGAGAGAATGTAAAACGTACTCTCAGCCTCCTGCTTGTTGAACTTGTCTGAAGCAGCATTGCTCTGGCCAGGTGTCTTGGAGTGAGGCATATTGGTTGTTTGGTGTG